TAACTCAAACTCGATCTGAACATGACCTGACTTGGAAATGACGCGACCTGATTGTAACTCGTAAATTGTTGACTTAAAATGAACTCGACTCGAACCCCAAAATTACCCGACTTGGAAATGACCCGATCTGATTATAACCCGCAAATCATTGACTTGAACCGAACCCGACTCGAACCGGAGAATGACCCTAACTCGTTTTAACCTGTGAAAATCCGAATTAAACCTGGCCTATTATTCACTTGACCCGAATGTAAAGCCAACCTGTTATTGATCCAACCTAATTGGACCTAAACACGATAAGATGTATGACCTGACGTGACCCGACTCAAGCATGACCCAACCCGAACCGCATAGGTTATGACATTAACTTGATTGACCCGGCCCGAGTTGGCCTGACCCAAATAACCCGACTGAAACCAGACCCGTTTATCCGAATTTATAGCTCTAAATTAATTTAGATGCATCGCTTTCCATTCTAGTTGATTCTCACTATCTTTCTTATACGACATGATTCTATTTATTCTTTCTCTATCTCTTTCTCTAATTTAAAAATTGTCTAGAAATCCATGATTTCAAAAGTAAATCAATTCTTTTGGAAAATGATAAAATTATATTATATATTTATATACAAAAAAGAAATGTGAAATGAATATTACGCCAAGGGTATTGCCAAGGTCCAAAACCAGTTTTACCTTAGAAAGGAACAAGTAGCATAAGAATTCTCTGTGGCATATTAAGCTAAAGTAATTAGCCAACAATTGGCATTGCTTCAAAAGTAAAACTTAATACTATAAAAATATATACCGAGATAAATTTAATAAAACCCCACAAAACATTTAATTTGTAATCTATGAGTATCCTCAACGTACAAGCAAGATAAAACTATTTATTGCTAGTGTGCTCACAAGGTATAAGTACATTAACGAGAAAATAATATTAGTTGTATTATGCATAATGGTACATATAAATTTGCCCGTGATTTATATGATTCAACAATATATATGACCGATATTGATTGATGTTAATTGACAAAGTTTTGAGTATAACTCAATCTTATTACTAAATCTTCTACAAAATTCAAAATGAAATTCTCCTCGGACAAATATGACCGGAACCGACTAAATTTGTTGCCACCCCTTCGATTGAAAATGTGAGGAAAACGGAGATATGCGGCGGGAAAAGACTCGAATGTTTTTTGTATTATTGGTTCATTTGGTTGGTAACATGAATTATGAAATACTTGAAATTATTTTCAATGGGGCTTTTAAATATAAGCATTTTTCCTTTTTCCCCAATTATGACCCACCATGCCCACCCAAAAATATAAAAATTTGGTAGATAATTTTGATGAATGTTTATTTATTCATTGATTCTTTTATTTTATATTTTTTAAAGGAAGATTGAAGGTGTAAAATCGTGAAGATCATAGATCAATTATACTCCTTATCCAGCTTGTACATGTGTCACTTCACAATGGCATCTCTATCCCAAATTGGGACCCACCTCAAGAAAACAAAAAATAATTTTATGCTTAAAGTTAAAACTGTATGAAACTTCGGTCCTATTTTCTTCACCATACTTTTAATGAACTAAAATATGTTAATTAAGTTCTGTTTTGATTTACTGAACTGAACTGAAACGAACTGAATTATTTAGGGTCTGTTCATATTTATTGAATTGAGTTGAACTGAACTCAATTGAACTGCTTGGTCCTAAACTAAACTGAACTGATTGAATCTGAACTGACTGAATTGAACTGAACTGAACTAAGCTGAAATAAATATTTTATGAGAGAGGAAAATTAGGAGTTGAATTGAATTGAACTGAACTGAACTGATTGGAGATGAACTAATACTGATTGGAGTTGAATTGAAGTGAACTGGAATTAAGTAAATGTGAACAGGCCCTTATAAGAGAAGAAAATTAGGAACTAAACTTAATTGAAATTAAACTGAAGAGAACAAGTCTAAAATTGAAATTAAATTTTCATATTGATTCTCTATAAGGTCATGTTCAGTTCACCTCATAAAAATAACATTTAACAAATACAATTTTAGTTCAATAAAAGTATTTTTAATTTAGCATAAATAATTTCAATTCATGAAAAATAATTTTAGTTCAACAAAAATAATTTCATTTTAGTATAAATGATTTGTGGTTAACCAAAATAAGGTGAAGTAATTATGACTTATTTTTACTGAACTAAAACTATTTTTACTGAACTGAATTTATTTTTGTTGAAATTAAATTATCTTTATTAAAATTAAAATTAATTTTATTAAAAAACTTATTTTTTCTAAACTAATATTTTTTTTACTGAATATTTATTAGTATATTTTTCTTTAAATTTAGATATTTTTAATGAACTAAAATTTTCTTTTTTTTACTAAATTGAACTGGAAACCGAACTAAAATTATTTTTAGTCAATATATTATTTTGTAAGTTGAGATGAACAATGAAGGGTCTTATATTTATTCTATAAAGTTACTGATTTTTAATGAATTACTAAAACTATTTTTGACTAAATTAAAACTATTTTCGCTAAATATTACTTTTTAAGGTAAAGAGAATATGTCCTTATTACTCTCTTGGTTTTTAATTGACTATATTATTATTTGAAATCTTATGAGGTTTAATGAAAAATAAATTCTACACTTGTTTCAAAATATATACTATGGTTTAATTGGACACGTATACCATTATTAAATTATTCTTTATAATATCTATAATTTATAATTTTAGAAAAATTGATTTTTGAAAATTATACATTGAGATGATGGGTTCCAACAATTACTCGCATGATTGTATGTTTCCTTATGTATAAATTTCTAAAATTGGTCAAAGTAAATTATATGCTTCGTACAAAAAATTGTGAAGTCAGTTTGATTCTACGGAATAACTTTAGGCTCTAAGGGCCTGTTCACTTCAGCTTAATTTCAGTTTAGTTCAGCTCTAATCAGTTCAGTTCAGTTCAACTCTAATTAGTTCAGTTCAGTTCAGCTCCTAATTTCTTTCTTTTATAAACATATTCATTTTAACTCAGTTTAGTTTAATTCAGTTCAGTTCAGCCCAGTTCAGTAAATGTGAACAGGATTGTTAAGGGTTTTGTAAGGATTTTAGGCCATTAGACAAGATTGAGGTAATTAGGGCATAGAATGGGTTAGTTATTTTTAAGGGTTTGATCAGAAGGGTTTTGGACAAAATTAGAGTTGATTAAAATTTATTTAGGTCCGATACTAACAAGGTTTGAGGACATTATATTTCTTAGACCCTCCAACAACTTCAAGCCGAATCAGATGAGTTGTACTTATTCAATCATTGGATATGTTTTGGGTTATTTGTCAACACAATTACATTTTGACAAATATCAAAGAAACTTGATAATCAAATTTTATATACAGAGGTAGTATTATATAAAGTGGAAAGCTAAACTTCCAAAAAAAAAAAAAAGCAAGCTAAACGTCGCCCTCGAATATCTAACTAATGTCCGCAAAATAAACCAAAATGTCAAATTTACCCTCTTTTAATAAAAAAAAAATGTAATCGGTCAATAAGTATAACTTTAATTAATAAAACATTTACAATCAATAAAATTCAATTTTAATTGTAATAATAATTAATTTCACTAGCAACCAGGTGATTAAAGATCTTCCTTAATTAGTCATGGACAATATGAACTAATCCTATAATGAAAACTTAAACATAATAATGAGTGAAGATGTGTTTTGAGTGTTAAGTTAGTTTCACTTTCTCAAATTAAACCTTCTTAACTTTTTATTTTTTATATATATATAAAAAAAAAAAATAACTATCACTCTATCCTAATCTTAAGGATAATACGGAGTGCGAGCATGTTCTCTTCGGCTTAATTTCAGGTCAGATCAGTTCTATTCAGCTCACTTTAGTTCCTAATTTTCTTCTCTCATAAGATATTTAGTTCAGCTCAGTTTCAATCAATTCAGTTCAGTTCAACTTAGTTCAGTAAATCAGAATAGACCCTACAATTATGCAAGTACTTATCAACCTTTTTTTGATTACTCAATAAAAATAGTATTCCAACCCTTTATCAATTTTTTTTTTCAAAAAAAATATGTTTTTAATATTTTTTTATGAAATTTTTTATTATCAACCAGTCTTAAATTACATCCATTAATATTTATTTTTGTTATTATCTATATTATAATTACAAACTCAGTTAATGTCAACTCTTATGAGTTCAGTTTTTATTTTATTTTTATTTTATTAAATAACCTCCCATTAAGTAACTTTCATCATTTTTTTTATAAAAAAACTTCCATCTTTCCTAAGGAGTATTATTTTTCTTTTTCAAATATACATGTTACATGTATACAGTGTGCTGGCACGGATACACTCTAGTTAAAATAAATTTAAGAGGTAAACAAAAGTCTATTAGACATCTTACATATATTTTTTGTTAGCTTGTGGAGTATATAAACTAGGAAAAATTAAAGATATATGCATCCCTAAGGGCTACATATAAAAAGTTAAAAGTCAAAAGAATAAACATAAAATTAACATTTATTATACTATTTATTCGTGAATTATTGATAAATTACCAACTTAATAATATAATAAAAAAAAATATATTAAATGCTTATAAACAGCCCTAAAGGATGCATATAACATTACCCTATAAACTATAAAGCCAAAGACATTTTGTTATAAGGCAAAAAAATATTGTGGCCGGTCCTATCGAAATTAAGAAAAATAATGGCCGGTGAAAGACATATTCTAGAATTTTCCTCCAATATCCGTTTTTTTAACCAATATTTCAACATCATTGTCTTTTCTTAAAAAATAAAAATAAATATTTTACATAATGGACAGGCTGGCCAATGGGGTTACCCATCCCAAACATGCCAACATGGCAACATATCATTATTTCCACCGGGTAACCGGCTATCACCGGTTACACTACCAACCTATCTCCCTCACTCACCCAAGATAACTCTACTATAAAGTACGTGCTCCCATCTCTACGAAGAAGACACTAGAACAAAAAAGAGTGATCAAATTATTCATCACATCAATCTTTTCTCTTTTAAATTATTATTAATCAGAGATTAATAATATGCCTATTAGCAGGATCTCCGTCGGAACCACCGATGAAGTCCGCCACCCCAACACCTTAAAGGCGGGGTTGGCGGAGTTCATCTCCACCCTTATTTTTGTTTTTGCTGGCCAAGGTTCTGGTATGGCTTTCGCCAAGCTTACCGCTGGAGCCGCTGCGACTCCAGCGGGGCTTGTGGCCGCTTCCATTGCCCATGCGTTTGCCCTTTTCGTTGCCGTGTCTGTCGGAGCTAACATCTCCGGTGGACATGTTAACCCTGCTGTGACTTTTGGTGCATTTATTGGTGGTAACATTTCTCTTCTTAATGGAATTGTTTACTGGATTGCTCAACTTGCTGGCTCCTCTGTTGCTTGCTTGTTGCTTAAGTTCGCCACTGGTGGCTTGGTATGTTTCTTAATCTTTTTTTTTTTTTACCATTTTTTTTTAATCGATTTAATTTTTTTTTAATTGCAACATTTTGATTTTTAGGCTTCTCAATAGTTTATAAGTTTTAATTTTAGTTTTTTATAATTAAATATTTAAGAAAATGATTTTTTTGAAAATGTATAAATAAAATGTTTTTTGGTTAATGGTGGTATATATATTACCGTTGAATATTTTAAGAAATATTTGTAAGAAGGTACCTTTAAGGCTTTAACGTTGACAAGTTTTTGGAAAGAAGTCATAAAGGAAACTAAATTTTATTAATATAAGTCATATGACATCTACAATTGACATTGAACGATAATGAAAACGAATTTAACAAAATCAAACAAGAATTGAACTTTATAGTAATTTAGGACCGTACTTACATTTTTTTTTTTTGTTGGTGATTAGGATTTTTCTTTTCTGAATATTCTTTAATTATCTAGGAAAATGTAATGAACATGAAATCACATATATTAAGACGTATTTAACAAGACCCTACATAATTATATTTTTCATAAGGAGTACATTATATTACTTTTACATAGTACTAATAATTATATTGATTTAAATAATATTAAATTAGAAATGTATGACCAAATCACGCGTCATTTAGTGTAATTAATATTTTTTTATTCTAATATTTTCACTTTAATTCTCTTATCTAACTTCTAAGGATTCTCACTCGTTAGCTTTTAAAATCGGGATAGATATCACAATTTACAGATTTGGTAAAGAATTTGTATACATAGAAATACGAGATTGTATGCGGATTTGCTTATTTAGTTACGATCTGACAGTCTGACATGACATGAATTTCACCAAAATAAAAAATTCTAAGAGGGGAAATGAGTGAAGGAGCTGGTAAAATGTATGATAGCCTTGAAAGGATCAAGTATCCACGTTTTATAAATTCTTGGCAAATTCTTTTAGTACCGCTTTTTAAGGTAAATGTTCTTTTGTTTTAAAGGATCGTTTATTCTAGGGAACAAATCAAACCTTATTTACTGCAGTGAGATTTTATACTTCATAGGCTATTTTTTTCAATGACTTATCATTTATTTTTTGACGATCATCAAGGTTAATAATAATGACTAAATTTGTCCCGATGTCATATAATAAATTAAAAATAGTGTTATTATTATTTAAAATCATGTATCATAAAAGAAATACTAAGTATATAAATCAAATAAAGAGAGGCCACACAAATGCAATGACGAATTCTAAGTTGTGTGGTTTGAATTCAATTATATGATATACGAACTATTTGAGGAAAATGGTATAATGAAAAGTTTAATTAAAATTGAGGATAGTCGTAATCATTTTTATACACCACTTTTAATAATTGAGTGACAAATAGAGACATCTAGAAAAAGCACGAGAGACTCGAGAGTAAAAGACGAGAATTTAGTAGAACATAGGGAAAAAAATGTACCAATAGTATGCATGTACTATCAGCAGCCCATTTAATTTAACTTTATTAACAAATCATAAAAGTATTAATTAATTTTGTGCATTTATTTTTATTCTTATCCATAATAATCATATAATTATTCTTATTAATTACAAGTACATCATAAGGATTCATAACTATTTTTAAAAAGTCTAATTTAAAACTATGATATCAAGTCTATTAAATTAAATGCAATATCAAGGGAAGTAAAATCAAGATAATAAAAATAATGCCTCAACTTGTATTTTATCATTCATTGTACTTTTCAGCCTTATCTAACTCCAATAATTGTTATTTGAAAAAAAAAAAACCTCCAATAATTGTTGCAAGCCTCTGTAGCCTGCAATGATTTCAATATTTTACAATGTGTTTGTGGTTTGAAACTTTGAACGTAAAATACAAACTACTTAGGCTCAATAATGTGACATGGCAAGTTTCTTAGGAAAAAAAAAAAAAAATAGGAAGGTTTTCTCACATGACTGAAAGTAGGTATAAATTGTAACTTTTGTGACTCAGCAGATAATAAATTAATTAACTTAGCAAAAATTTTGATATAGGTAATCTTATCTATTTTTAAATATATGTACGTACGTAAATTGACATGTTACATTTAAATATTTTTGTGTAGGAAACATCTGCCTTTGCTCTATCCGAAAACGTGACCGTATGGAACGCCCTAGTCTTTGAGATTGTGATGACCTTCGGACTAGTGTACACCGTGTACGCCACCGCCGTCGACCCCAAGAAGGGCAACATTGGAATCATTGCTCCACTAGCCATTGGTCTCATTGTTGGCGCCAACATCCTAGCCGGTGGCGCATTCGACGGTGCCTCAATGAACCCCGCCGTGTCATTTGGCCCAGCCTTGGTCAGCTGGAGCTGGAACAACCACTGGGTGTACTGGGCTGGACCCCTCATCGGTGGTGGACTCGCCGGTCTTATCTACGAGTTCATCTTCATTGGAGGCCAAGAGGCTGCCCCTGCTGATTACCAGAGATTATCTGCTTAATTAAGTTGATTATGTGAAAATTTGAAGATGGAACTTTGTTTTTTATCTTAGTGTTTTTTTTTTTTTTTTTTTTTTTTTTTTTTTTTTTTTTTTTTTTTTTTTTTTGTTTAATGGGTTATTTTGGTTGTTCTTGTATCATTTGAGAGTTTGAATTTGTGGGGCTCTTTTTAATGTGACAATTCTTCAAATCATGGTGGTAATTAATTTATAATGTGGGTCGTCGTCTTTCATAATCGTCACTATCATATTATGAGATTCCTTTATATTTATTGAGTATATATATGTAGTGGATTTAATGGATAGTGAGGTTTTTGGAGGCTACTCTTGTGGTTGTTCTATTTTTAAATTCAAGTAATATTATCTTCTATTTTTAATTTTTTTTTATTAAATATTATTAGTTGTTCATGTTCATCCTATCATATCCACCAACTTTGGATAATATTATACCTTTGTTGCTTTGGATATAATTGTGATTAGTTAATTATATCCAAATAATAATTGTATGATGTATTAGGTTTTTGTAAAGGTGGCAGTATGCTAATTTGAATTATTTAAAAGATCAATGAAAGTTGAAAATTAATTGAGTTGTATTTTATAATTATTAGTTTCAATATATACTTCAAGAAAAACTCAATGTACGGGTAAGCTTTAGGACATCCAAATAATATGCGAAACTTAAAAGATTGTGACAAATTCAAACTTATTATTGTGTCAAACAGAGCTATATCAAAGCAGCTATTTATTGTAGAACTGGTCATATTATGCACATTGTACAATTGGTATATGGCCCAGCCTTGGAGCTGTTGGAGGGCATCCAAATGATTTAGTAGAGTGTGAAAGTCAAAAGTTACTAGCTCTAATGTAGAGCAAAAGCTATACAAAGACATGCTATAAAACTAGTTGTATTTTGCATATGGTATAATCAAATTTATTTCTTTGCTGATTTGGACCATCCCTACACGAAAATATATGAAAAATAAATAGAAATGGTTGTACATCAATAAACATGATGCAAATATAAAACATTGTAAATGATTTTTTCAATTATACAATGCTAAATTGAGATATTTTATTCTTCTTGTGTACTCAATTCTAATTGAAAGTCCCTAGTAAACCTTAAGAATTCATGGAGGATTCATTTATTATTTCATTTACTTATTATTATTTGACATTTGCATGATTCATGAAGCTAAGATGTACTTCTTTGATTGAAGTAGCTTATCATGTTTTCCACTAGACATGACATGTGCAATAGCTTCATTATGAAGTTCCATTTTTGTAATACAACGTGTTAAGCTGTACGAAATTAGTAGGATTTCATTGACCATGATATAGAAATATGATGCTCCTCTACCTTAATTAATTGTTAGACAAATTCAATTTACACAATGTTTAATGTTAACAAATTCAACTTAATTATATAAAACTGTTTAAATGTTACATGCATTAAAAAGAAACGAAAAAAGTATTATGAATATTGTATATATCGGCCAATTATAGGCAAGATGACAATGAGTATACAAATGGACATTGGATTCATTTACCACTTGAAATGAAAAGAATAGTGAAGAGAGTAAGTGAGATCTGAAAATGGTAGCTACAAAAGGCGACGAATGAAGCATTGATTGAAAAGATCACCACACAAAAGAATCACACATACTGTATTTGTCAAAGTAGTCACTTTTTTATTTACAAAAACTGTGATGAAATAGAAACCACATTTTAGGTAGATTTGTGGTTTGTTTTATCATGCAAACGGACGTGAAAAGTGGCCCTACCACGTGATTTGGGCTAAATAGTGAACCGACCTTGCTGGATTATGGCACCGAGCTGTCAACGTACTCAATATGGGTCTCATTTTCGATTTTTGACGACAATCATTGTCATCCTTTTAATCTTTTGCCTCCCTGTACAAAATTTAAATTATACTTTCTTCTAATTAATGCGTTTAAGTTTCAGTTGATTAAAATTAATGAGAGAAAATTTATACTTTCTCCGTTTCTATTTAGTTGACACGTTTAATTTATGCACACATATTAAGAAGAAGAGAGAGGGTGAGAGAGAAAGATAAAACAAGTGAGATACACTTAAAAAACAAGGTATAAAACTTACTCAAAAAGAAAACGTGTCAACTAAAAAAAACTTCTTAAAAAGGAATACGTGTCAACTAATAAAAAAACGGAGGTAAGTATAACATAAAGTGATTTTTGGTAAGAGTAAAATTATAATCTCATATCATAAGCACTTAGAGTCTGTTTTGTCTTTCAATTTTTTTTTTTTTTTTTTTTTTTTTTTTTTTTTGAACAGGGTGGAATGAAGTTAGAATTCATTTTATTAGTTGATTAGGCTTTTCTAATGTGGAATCACTTTTCAAAAAGATTATAACTTTACCTCATCCCTACAACCCTATATATATCCACCTTAAGTATATGATTTACAATCCATTCTATTAATAAGATGTAGAAATCATTCCAACAATAAAATCAAACAAATTTAATTTAATATGAAATTTTGAATGATCCATACCTCCTTAATATGAATTTCAAACTAATGCGCATGCGTTTCTATTTGATGACATTACAAACGACCCCTTATAATGTGAGAATTTTACAAATGACCCCTTATAGTGTGAGAATTTTACAATCGGCCCCTACTTATAGTGTGAGACAATCTTTTGATTAAAAATGGTCCAAAATGAAAAATAAGAAAACAAAATTTCAAAGATGAAGGGAGTAATAACATTTATATTCACTATTTTTTTAATTGCATCATTTTATGCTTGTCAATGCAATAATTTGACAATAATATTTTTAAATATTTACGTAAAAATTATAAAAAGTTAACAATTGAAAAGTAGAAGTCGAGAAGAACCTAACAAGATCTCACATGATTATGTTTTCTTTATATATAAATTACAAAAGAGGGTCAAAGGAGGTTGTGTGAATAACGTAAAGTCCATATGGTGCAATTACAAAAATAAAATGGAGCAAGTATTACACAAATTTTGGCTCAACAATAATAATTAAAAACTACTCCTATTTTCATTTTTAAGTGATACAAACATGCCAACATACAATTTTTTTTTTTAAAAAAAAAACCAAAAAAAAAAAACCAAAAAAAATAAAGAAAAAAGAAACAAGTATATGTTATACTACGTACTATTGTCATTATGCTAACACTTCATATGTTCTTTTTTTAATTGCACAATGAGTGATTTTACGTTTGTCAATACTCAATACATTACGTTGCCTATTAATATCTTTAATTATACTTTTATAAAATTATTTAAAAATTTTGATATTTGAAATGTAAATTTCGAGACGAACCTAACTAAATTCCATAATACTATATTTTTCTTTCCGAATAAATCACAAAAAGATGATTATATAAATAGTGTAAAAATCCTTATGGTGCAATAAAAGAAAAACAAACAAAGTTTTGTCTAGGAGTCCGCGCTGACCGCTTTTGTTGCAAATAACTGTTAACGGAGGTAGTATATAATATGCATTCGAAACTAATCCAATAATATACTATACACCATTAAGTTATAACATACAAATAGGAAAATAGAGGTCAAATCTATCAGTTCATGATTATAATAACTCGATGGTCATTTTAGATGTATGTTGTTCATTCAGAGATTTTAAATGAGCAAATCTGTTGAAGGTGTATTTAAAGCCGTACATAGAATTTTCATATTGGATCAAGTTTGAAAATATAAAAAAGAACAGAATATGTCCAATACAACAACCTTTTAGCCCCTAATAATAAGAGCAACTTGTTTAGTCTATTCGACCCTCCATCAACTATCTCATATTGGAATGTCACATTTCGGCTGTTACTTCAATTCAAGCTCAAGTGACCATTGTGTTTAATGTCAAAAATCGTCAAAATCAAGGTGTTTTCAAAATAATGTAATGTTGGAATCAATAATAGCAGTTGGGACAATGTTTGCACAATTCCTGTAAATTTCTTAGTATTTTCTGTGGATGTTAAATATTTTCTGTGGATGTTAAATACAATAATTCTACATGGTTCTTTGCTCTTACGAGCCGGTTCATATTTATTGAAATGAGCTGAACTGAACTGATTGGAGCTTAATTGAATAGAACTGATTGGAGCTGAACTGAACTGTACTACATAGAGCTGAAATAAATAGTTTATGAGAGATGGAAATTAGGAGCTGAGCTGAGCTAACTGAACTGAACTAATTGGAGCTGAACTGAACTGATTGGAACTAAACTGAAATTAAGTTGAAGTGAACATGCCCTACATATTACCAAGTTAGATTTGATATTTTTCTATATTTTTGGGTGATATATAAAGACCAGAGTCTTGTAAAAAGTATGTACTATTCAATAACTCTTCAAAATTTTAAACAAAGTTGTACATAATTAAAGGTATATTATATTCTCCTTAGTTTCACTTATTATAAGTTATTAAATTTTATTAGACCTTATTAAAAAAATTATTTTAATGAACTTGAGTAACTTTTATCATAATTTATATATTTTTAGAACTTATCTGAACTTATTTTATTAAAAAAACTTATGAGATATGGAATAAGTAAAAGTAAGATGAACAAAATTGAGCCTAAATGCATTAATGATCAGATTATACATCATAAACACACATAAAAGATTCACAAAGTTTCACCGTACGGCCGGTCGCAATATAATTTTTTTTCTCTCTCTTTTCTCTATCTCCTATTCTCTTTCCTGTTTTCTTCTTCCCACCTAAACACACCCCTTTCCCGAGCTCTCTTCTATCTCTCCTCTCTCCTCTTTCTCTCTCCTATTTTCATCTTCTCCAGTTAGCCCACTCAAAGTAAACAAGTTAAATGGAGCAGCGGTGGTAGGGGGTAAGGAAGCTCCTCGTACTCCGTCGCCGAAAAACAAGCTAGAGATTTTAAGGCCAAATTCAGCCACAAAACTGAGTTTTTATGGCTGAATTTGGCCTTTTTAGCCATATTTCAAGTGAAATTCGAAACTAATATTAATTTTGAGGTATTTGTTTTATTTAATTTTTTTAAAAAACCATTTTAATGGTTGTTAGTGGTACGGGAGTTGGTGGTGGTGTGGTGAGTTTAAGGTTTTGAGGATGGCGGTTGAGAAAGGTTGGTGTTGGTGGTGGTTACTGTGGGTTTGGGTGTGGGTTAATGGTTACTAGGTCGGGGGATACTAAGGGTTACTAGGTCGGGGTTATTAGGTCGGTCAAAGGTTACTAGGTAGGGGTTACTAAGGGACACTAGGTCGGTTAGGGGTTACTAGAGGTACTAGATTAGGGGTTACTAGGTCGGTTAGGGGTTACTTGGGGTTACTAGGTTAGGGGTTACTAGATCGGTCAGGGGTTACTTTGTCTTGGGGGTTACTAG